TTTAATACATACATATATATTTATTAAGTGTCTCTGGTAAATATTTTGATAACACGGATATGTAGATAACGTATGTACAAATAAGGATAGCATATGGACATACAAACTTGTCCTTTTGGGGATATCCCTATAGTATCCACAAATGTATATCCTACGGGCAGCTTGTAAGGCTCATGGATATCCCGACCAGAAATGGATATAAATCGGATGTCCATAGGATATCCTGTGCTGTCTGGGACCTTATTATGTCCTTAGGAGGTCCCGAGAATGTCCTCAGGATATATTTACATAGGACTGAGGCTGTCCACAGGACGTCCTGAGGCTGTCCCCAGGACGTCCTGAAGCTATCCTTAGAACGTCCTGAGGCTGTCCCCAGGACGTCCTGAGCCTGTCCCCAGGACGTCCTGAGTCTGAACTGAGGCTGTTCTAAAAGTGTCCTGAAAAAAGTATTTTAAAGACGTCCCGAGGACATCCCGTGGATATATGAATGTCCTCAACATGTCCCAGGACGTCCTGGGACATATTCAAGATGATCCTGAGGACGTACTGTGCTGTTTGGGGCCAAAACCAGTATCAGTAGTGTCCCGCCTAACACGTTGTCAACAATGCGCAACAATAAAAAGTAAACTAAGAAAGAGGGAATTAACACGTGGATGATCAGTTTGCCACATAAAATGAAGCCACTGTACGACCTGTACATACGTGCGGTATGTCGCCAAGGAATTTATGGGAACAATATGAATAACGATTGCGCGGTTCAAGCGCACTCTGCAGAAAATATTTTCTAGTAATATTTAAGAATATTTTTAGAACATTTAAAATGTTCTTCAAAATTTCGAATATTTTAAGAATTCTATGAAATGTTCCATACGAATATTCTCAAAAAAGAATATTTGTCTCAATATAGAATATGCGTAGAATATCCAGTGCTATCTGGGAATTGTACCATTCTCTTTTTCGAACAATATTCGGAAATCTTTAATTTCTAACTTAGGGACGGTCAAAAGATTAAATTGTAAGTTAGGAACATACAGTATATTTTCAATAGTAATATTCGTCTGTTTACCTTGTACGCAAACAGTTTCTCTAACCTTTTCTATCTTTGACACCGCCAAAGTTATTCCCCCATACAGCACAGAACGTTGAAAGAATGTTGCTGAGACGTTGCAATGTTGAATGTTGTAGTGGGAATGTTTTTTCAACGTTGAATCTATGTTGAATTTTCTATATTGATTATTAATGTTGCTGCAACGTTGAATCTATATGTTGAATTTTCTATATTGATTGTTAATGTTGCTGCAATGTTGAATCTATGTTGAATTTTCTAGATTAATTATTTATAATATTGCTGCAACATA